TTTGTCCGGGTATGTAGTCTAGATAGTGAGACGTAAATGATAGACTTTTTTTTTTTAGTCGGGCATTTTTTTTTTTTTTTGCATGGTGGCTTGATGGTGTTCTTTTTTTTTGTCTCGTATTATGTTTTTTTTTTTATGCTATACAAAACGTCAAAACTTTTTTTTTTGTGTTATCAGCTTTTTTTTTTTAAATGAAATTTAAACTTACCTCATTTTTTTTTTACATGGCAGAGCTTTTTTTTTTCCACCGTCGAACATTGCGTCCAGTTTTTTTTTCTGATTCATGAAATTTTTTTTTTCCATACTGGTCAGCGGATGAAAATTTTTTTTTTAAATAATCATCATTTTTTTTTTTATTGTCATTCATTATTGCTTTATTTTTTTTTAGGGCCCAGAAGTTTTTTTTTTTAAAGGTTGGTAAGAAGTTGGATGTTTTTTTTTCCTCGACCCTTTTTTTTTTTTTTGATTTAGACGACACAACTTTTGCTTTTTTTTTTCGCATGTAACCTTTTTTTTTTTTCCTTACGACATGGTTACAACTGTTTTTTTTTTTTTTAACAATTGTTTTTTTTTTTCACGACAGTTGTAGCAATGTCGTTTTTTTTTCTTACGCAGGTCGTTTTTTTTTTTTGTAGGGAAAAGTTGTGTCGTCTTTTTTTTTCTTTAGAAAAGGGTTTTTTTTTTAAACGTCATCCAACTTCTTACCATTTTTTTTTTAGATCCACTTCTTTTTTTTTTTTCACGGTAAAGCAATAATGAATATTTTTTTTTAAGCAATAACGTTTTTTTTTTTTGTCACGGAATATGACTCAAATTTTTTTTTTTTTCTTTATCTGTTTTTTTTTTTTTAAACTAAGCAACATATTAGTTTTTTTTTTTTTATAGCCAGAGAAATTTTTTTTTTTTTGTCACGTGAAAATAGAAAATTTTTTTTTTTTGAAATTTCACATTTTTTTTTTCACAATTAGGTATATTTTGCTTGTTTTTTTTTCTAACACAGAGCATTTTTTTTTTTTGCAATTCGATCTTTCTCATTGCAGCGGTCTGCAAAATTTCGGAAAAATACCAGGTGCATTGTTGGTCAATTTTTAATTTTTTTTTCTAAAAACCATCTTTTTTTTTTTGTAAGACTATATAGGTATTCTTGTTTTTTTTTTAATCAGAGAATATTTTTTTTTTATATCAAAGAAAAATTAGCAGTTTTTTTTTTTTTAGCATTATACATTTTTTTTTTTATGCATTTATGAATATTGTTCGTTTTTTTTTCAAAACGCTGTACTTTTTTTTTTAGACTATTGTACAGCGTTTTGCATTTTTTTTTCAATATTCATACTTTTTTTTTTTCACTTTGAACTTGCAACTGTTGGATAAATGACTAGGATTTTGATAATACACGCTGTCCATTTAGCTCGCAATGCAAATTTTTTTTTTTCCTATATCACATTTTTTTTTTTAAAACCATATAGACTATAAATAATTTTTTTTTTACAGATTTTGAGTTTTTTTTTTCGGACCTGTAAGCGCTACAACACTTTTTTTTTCCATTTGTGCAACTTTTTTTTTTGGAAGTTGTACTCCTCGCACTTTTTTTTTTTTACTAAAACAGTCCTTTTTTTTTTTTTTACCTTTTTTCTGCAAAATATTTTTTTTTAAACCCAGCTTTTTTTTTTTTTTAGGGGCTATAAATAGTGCGAGGACTACAACTCCCATCATACTTTGCTGTACAAAATGACGTCGTCCTCGGCTGACCTTTTGTTTTTCAGTACAGGAAACCTCATGCAAAGCTCATCGCTTATTTCGTCTTCAGTTTTTTTTTTGGGAAAAATCACTTTTTTTTTTCTCATGGGATTCTTCTTCAATAATTCAACCACTATATTGTTTGGCCTGTATGTCTTCTGCTCTGACTTTGAAAGCTCTTTTTTTTTTCAAATGATTACTGTTTTTTTTTTGTTGGAGGTCAAATCTTTTGAAGCTCGTTTTGCTGGTTTTTGTACTCCTTCGTCTACTTTGCTGCCTTCCCGTTTTGTTTTTTTTTTTTGCTTGGCCTGCTTTTTTTTTTAAGTTGTAATGCAACTGTTTCAATTTTTTTTTACGCCAATATTTATTTTTTTTTTGACCGAAAGTAGCCCCCTGGGGTGGAACTCGACCCCGTTTTGGATAGGTACGTGCCGCCAACGGTCTAAAACCCTTACTTTTTTTTTGACACTAGAAAGTTTTTTTTTTTCCATTTAACTTTTGAGGGGGGGGTTTTTTTTTCTTGTGAGCAAGATTTTTTTTTTCTTCGTGGCTTTTGGGTAGGATATTTTTTTTTCTTTTATGTAACATTTTTTTGGGGCTTAGGGTGGTGCAAGATTTTTTTTCAGGTCCATATGTTGTGCACGATTTTTATTTTTGGTGAAGATCGCTTGCAGGATTTTTTTTTTGAAAATCATCCACCCCCTCCCCCCCCCCTCAAAAGTTAAATGGACCGTCCCTAAAAATCCATACCCTGTTCAAGACAAATCGGAAAAATAAGGAATCGCTATCTACGCCGCAACCATCAAAACTGCAATTRTACTGRCRTCCATMAARRACAATAAGAAGTTTTTGATAACACGTTAATCCTGGTACAGTGAAACGGGGTATTTCTCCTATTTCGACGGTATTTCTCATGAAAACTACCCAGTCCAAGACACACTGAAAATTATATCGGTCTTTTATCGAAATTGTAGAGCCTGTTTAAGACAATTTCGGGTGAAATGTATWCCCTGTTTAAGACAGCAARKCCAAAAACCATACCCTGGCCAGCGGCACGTCCCCGTATAGAAAATATATGAGAGTAGCCCCGGGAAGTAGTCTTGGGTATTGTTTATTAGCATTGTTATATTCACGAATCAGTCAAAGGCAGTCACTCAAAGTGACTTAGCCAACGGAATCACTTATGAAGTTTTGTTTACGTTTGCAGTTAGAAATTACATGATAATATAACCAAAACTCTTTTTGACCCCTGTATGCTCGTATGAAATAAGACTCGATCTTGCGACAGATGGAATCCATCAATATTTTATACCAATAAAAATGTTTTAGTCGTAATTGTATTCGTCATTTTTGACTCAGCTTTTACATTTCCAAAGTTACATTCCCTCGAGCAGTGAAAAAAACACATTATTAAATTAAATCCACGAATTTATATTAATAAGAAACAGTTCAGAGGAACATTTTCGTGGACATCAGTCGCCATTTTGGTTTTTACTGTTTGTTGTTTCTTTTCATTCCTTCTTCTCTATTTTTCTTTCTATCTTTTTATTCATTTCATTCACATTGCAGTTTATAGTGAATTCGCAACCATAACAAGGGCTGTTTGGTGTTTCAAAGCTCAACATAACTCAGTATTTCACAATTTTCGTCTCAGACCAAGACGCACTTGTTATTAGTCACTTGATAGTCACACAACACATTGCGCATGCTCACAACAGTGCATGACAACCACTTGACTTCAAGAACGTGCCTCCCTTTGGCCCTTGTTGCATTTTCCAGTTAATGCTTAAAAATGAAATGTTGTTGACGTTTGGCGTTTTAATATCCTTGATCTGCAGGGACGCGTTATAAACCTGAGTACGTGACCCAATATTTACTAACAACGTTTTCACCATTTGACTCAAACTATGAGATTTTCGGATCAAAGATTTTTCATCTTAACTCTGCCGTGACGTGCTAATTTCGATTATATATAGATAGAGAATTATTTGTTTTTCCGACATGTCTGAAAGGCATATCGTAAGACAATTCACATGTTAATTTTGCAAACAAAAGACCAGTCTTCAAAAAAGCTCATTAAAATTCGTTTTGTTTTAATTGTTCTTCGGTCCGTTATGCCTTGACCAAATTCTGATACCTTTCGGAGTGAGAGCAATTACCAAACTTACCAAGTGACAAGAAGGCTTAAGGATTAGTATTGCAATGCGCAACGCCGACCAAAGTCATAGGGATTCAGGGCCAAACGTTTGCGGTCTTTTGATTCTGTCATAAATTGTCGTTTTTGAAAGGTGTTTTCAGTCTGTTTTTTAAATTTTGGCATGTAGCCTTCTCATTGATCTAATCCTAAATTAAATCTCACTATGAAAAGTCAAATGTGTATAAAGGAAAAAAAATTACAATTTTAGAAATGTAAACACCAAGCTGCGCATTATTGAATTTTTATTAACTATATGAAAAATAATAAAAATAAAGCAAAAAATATTTGAGTTTAAGACAATAATTACCTTTGTAAAAATCGAAACTTTTTACATTTCACAGTTTTCTAGCATATGGCAAATTGTTTATAAAGCCCTTGCACGCAATTTTATTTTTTGAAAGTTAGAGTCCACATTTTCTTATCTTTGTAGTACAATGAAGCTAACATTCAGGCAATTCACTTACCTAAAGGTTGAAATCACCTACGACTATATAGTGACGAAAACGTTCAAGAAACTGGGTAAAGTGGAATTTGCCACCATTCTCGCCAACTTGTAGCATCTCACGCATCAAAAATAACCCATTGAAATTACTCGGAAGTTACTGGAAATAACATTCAAGCAAAACATTAACGCATTTCACATGTGTTTTAAGTCAAAATTCAAATTTCAGACGCCTCCAACGCCGAAAGGAACAGTTTCTTGTAATATTGCATGATTTTCGTCTTGTTACGTGTTGTGGTCCTGTTCAAAATGTTTGGTGCGTGATTCTGTGCATGTTCTGTACCGTCACGTGACCATACGAACTTTGGAACCACCGGAAGTGACATTTACCGGAAGTGAAAAATTAACATTGCATCACGTTATATTCACTAAACTTATTTATCTTAAAAATTCTTAATTTTTTGCTTATCTTAGCCCTGTTGTATCCAATCGTTTATCGATCGTTATCGTTATGTGGGTTATATTCCACCTTTTCTCTATAATTTCTTAGCTCGTTTCCAGTCTTCTACCTTCAGTTGTTTGAGATAGAGAGAGACTGGAACGAGAGCCTTTTTGAGCGGCAACGCGGCAAATTTGTTTGCGTTATTGAAGTCTGTCTTGAAAACGAAGAAAAATTGTTGGTTTAAAATGTAAGTATTTGTCTTATAGCTATACTTGTAATATTATCGTGTAAGGAACTATCATTAAGATGAAATYTAGCAATTAATTTGTCCAGATTTGTCTGTTTTCCGTTTGTTGTTTACTCTCGTTTGACTCAGATTTTGATTTGGAATGGTTTGAATTTCATGTTATAGTAACGCTTTTGTCGACGAAAACTGGAATGCAGCGGCTTTAGAAACAATGAAGAAAGTAGCTTAACTTTCTGTTAGTCAATATGACCATTTCTGGTTCATAGAAAGCTTAGATTACTATAAATCAAGTTCGTCAAAAGGTAGTGCACAGTGTTGTTCCGCCAGGAGGCGTCCGGTTTGCCAAGTAAAGGGCTTTTTAAAGCAGATTTAAACTTCCATTTGTATCTTACGTTAACTTTTGAAATAATCTTTTTGAAATGGGTGCATTTGTTGGCCTCCTATCATGTATGTATGCAGGCTTGCACGGGTAAAAGTTTAACCTGTGCGATCTCACATCATAAACTTATTCCGGATAAATAGCACATCTTTGAGAAAAAGAAAACATGATTTGAGCTTATTGGTGTTTATGTTAAAGCTTTGTTATCACTACAGCTAAACATAAAGCATGCTGAGTGTTCAACATAAACTTGCATATTGTATGATATTAAAGCTACACCTAAATCTAGACAACGTGCATAAACTGATGTGTTTTGGCTGTAATGTATTAGTTTTCATAGCATATTTGTATCTTGGCATTATCTACATATAGGTGACATTGTGGAATGCTTCACACAACTGGATATAATATTTAGCTGACAAAGTAAAATAAAGTCATGTCTTGCATGCAAGCACAACAACCAAGGCCTTCGTCTTCATATTTTCCAAATAAACAAGAAACTGAGAAGACCTCAAAACATAACACAAGGTTGGTCCTTCATTTTCTTGTTGAAGATGAGAAAAAAACATACAGTATTTGATGCAGTTGCATTTGTTTCAATTGTTAATGTTCTCTGTGATATTTGTCTTTGTCTGTCCTTTCTAAAAGATGTTGTATATTATTATAAGCTATCTGTCCAGCTGCCTGAAAAGCTGGTGTGTTCTTACAGTTCTCTTCCTTGTAGTCATTTTGACCTTAGTATTATGCATTACTTGAAATGATTTTCCGTTCTTTTTGCTCCGTTTTAGAGAATCAAATGATGCAGCTGTGGTGCAGCCTTTTCACTTCCCTCCAACAAAACAAGTTTGGTGGTAAGGAAGCACAAAGCATTTTTCCTTTCAAAATACAAATTTCATTTTATTTGTCTTTAAATAGGGACAGAAAAGCTCAAGGGAGCCCTGAAATACTTCATCTTACATCTAAAAGGTACATAATTAAACAGAAAACTTTTACACTGTTTTAATGATGTTAATAGTTAAATAAAGTTAATAGGGAGTGGAGTGGTGTACTAAATCGATGATATTTCACTTATTCAATCTTTGTTTGAGTGGGTGGGACTGTAGTCACTCTGTTGTAGGCAAAATCGTTGCACTTCTTCTAATAAGCTCACTCTAACCATGTCTTCACAAAAGCAATCAGGCCAAAAGACTAACTGCTGTGGATGTAATTTAGATGTCAAGGACCACAATTTTGGTGCACTTCACAAATCGTGCAATCTTCTGATATCTCAAAGCAAAATTATTTCAATATCCATTGAAATAATATTATATTGCCAAAATTACCGAAATCTTTCAGTTCAAGTACTTGTACTGTGAGTACAGAGCTTGAAATAAACTAAAGAGTAAACTTTTATTGCTTAGCTGCAACATGTTCCTTTACAAGTGTTGTCTGAAGATTTCGGGTTCGGTAGATTAAAATTTGTCCACTTCTAGTCCAAAACGTATTTTAGACCCTGTTACTGCACTATTTTTAGATTATATTTTAAATTTGTTTCAGGAATTTAAGAGTACAATTAAATGAAAAGACACTGAGACTTGGAATAAAACATCTCAACAAGTCATCTATCCCTTCATACGACTGCTTTTTCATCGGCTCTTTATTCATTGATTCAAGTATGTATCATGCATTTACAATACTGTTGAACTGTTGCTAAACATGTTGGATGGTTGTTAGTCCATGAATTATTAAATACAGATGTAGAAGGACACAATATGATTGTCTAGTCTGGGATTTGAACTCCAGAGTTAGAAACCCTGTTAAGGGAAAATTTTGCAACAACTTTTGCCTACAACCATTGCATGCAACCTGTCAACCATAACATAGCTACAACTATTGTAGGGACAAATTTTCCTTTTAGACCTAAGTGTTAGTTGTATCCACATTGGAAGGAAGTAACAAGAAAGTCTAAGGCAGTTTTGTTAGCAGGTTGCATGCAATCGTTGTAGGCAAGGTTCTGTCTAATACATATGTAGCTGATTTGTATTATGGCGTCATAAGCTACAACTACCAGAGAATGCTTCGTGCACACTTTCTTTTATTACAGTTAGCGCTTAATCTCCAAAGGGATCTAATTAACAAATCTAATTAACAATGAAAATGCTCGAGGCTTTCTGGTAGTTTGTTATTTTAAGTAAAGTTAAGTTATCGTACAAATAGCCRGAAATCGTCCTTGAATTTTCACACTTTTTATAAGAAAATGCCAGATTACTTATTATAAGCAGCCATTACTTGTGAATATTAAATAAGTCTATGACTACCATAATCTAACAAGTAAAAATGTTTTTAATATACATTGGTCACATGACGAGACATTTGAAAGGAATCAAATTTCTGTTTTTATTTTTTGAATTTATTTAAAAAATCATCAAAACGCAGGCTTTAAAACATAAAAATCTTTATATTAAAACACATCAAAATTTACTTAAAATGAAATAGGAAATTTGTCACACCATTGGTAAAATCAATATTTTGTAGCTAAACATTTTTTACTTCAATTTTTTGAAGTCATGGAAGCGATCATCACAAACACAAGTAAATATGACATTTGTCTAGGTCTCTAAAATCTTTGTTGCTACTCCAAATTTTTATTATTAACCAAATTTAATTTTCTATTGTTCAAGATACAATAAGTCATTTGCATAGGGAGTAACGTTTTTACTTCATTTGCACTAAATTACAACTTTTGAAAGTTTACAATTCTCTTAACTTTAAAGCTGTCGTGATATTATATATTAACTTGTATTTCAAAAGACATATTTAGTTTATATTTTGTACTATCATTTTGCACCTCACATTTTGCCATTAAAACATTGAAAGCTACATAATTAAGATTTTTTTAAAGGAACAGAAATAAGTTTAACCTAGAATATTAACCTTGTGTTTGACCTTGGCATAATAAGTTTAAATAGAGTTTTTAGAATTGTGTCTGAAATTTCCATCATTTTGACAACTGTAAAAAGTTACATTAATTGAAAAATTTAGGTGAAACCAGGATTATACATGAGTGATTAAAGTCGAAGTTCTCTGTTTTTTGTTTGTTTTGTTTTTGTTTTCAAACAAGCTTTCAACCTCTCTGGCTGAGGTCTTTTACAAGTGAGTAAGTTACAGCTTTGAATATAAGGCTCAACGTATTTGTTGTTGATTAAGAGATTGGAAAGGTCAAAAGCTCATTTCAAAAAGCTAAAAACCAGAGAACATTTTAATTATGTAATGCTACTGTTAACAGTAACTGGCAATGGTGATTTTGCTCCTTTCAAAGAAAGTTGTTAAGTCACCAATCTGTTTTTGAGACTCATCTTTCAGAACTATTCAAGCTTTGAATGTTAAGGAACTTGAACCCAATCTCTAATGACATGAAATCTGACARTTATCTTATTCTCAGAAGTTGTTTCCTGTCTTGTTCATAGGAGAAGATGCAGTAGAAATAAATATTGATAGATTTGATCCAGGACGAGAATTTACAGATAAAGGTAATGATGGTCCGTAAAAAAATAATGAACTGCAAGCAGCATGCAAGAGATGCAATCAACAGGGTCTGTGCAGGTCCTTAAATCCTTGAAAAAGTCCTTGAAAACTMCTTGAAATGGYTAGATCTCTATCACAAAGCGATAGCGATCTCGGAATTATTCCGTTCGGCTGAAGTTGTGAGGTAAGAATGTACAATTAGCATGATTATGATGTTCCTTGAAAATACAATTTTGGTCCTTGAAAAGTCCTTAAATTTCGTTTTTGATACTCTGCATGGACCCTGAATCAAAGACCACCAGGGCTCGAAATAACAGCCAGACATATGCAGGACAAAATGTCCTTCCAAATTCATTTTTGGAAGGTCATGTCGAATTTTGAAAGGACAAAAACTTTATTATACTGTCATTTTCTTTTAATTTATAGGTTTTTGTATTCACAAAGATTGGCAAGCATTTTAATGTAAAAGAAATATTTGAGAATTGGGAATTGATTGTTTTTTATACATTTGTCAATTTGTCCTTTCAAAACCAGATTTGGCCGGTCATCTAGCAAATTTGGAAGGACACTGTCCTTTGACCTGCCGTTATTTTTAAGCCCTGAAGACATAATATGTAGCTTGTGTGAAATACTACACTAAAACCATGAAAAACTAATTAAAGTAATTAACTAGTGCTATTCAGGACAATTTCTGTTGTCTAACCTAAACTATATTGCATTGTTTGGTTAGTACCAGAAACCTATAAGGGACTTGAAACGTCTAACGCCATGCCGACCGTTGGAATCATCATCATTCCTGTTGTACGCCTAGGTGGCATGTAGGGCCGCTACTAAGAATTTCTGGACCGTTGGAATATTCAAATCTAATTTGCATCTCATTTCCTTATTTGACCTTATTTAGAGCAATGAAATTTACCCTATAGCCAAACATAATAGGCCTTAAACCTCTTATCCTACAGCCAAATTTTCCAAATATGGTGATAACGTTCGTTTTTGAATTTTTAATGAGTTTCAAATATTCCGATGCTTGGTACGTACTAAAGAATTGTATGGGCGTTACACGTTTCAAGTCCCTTATAAGTTTCTGTTAGTACATAACAGGGATAAATCCAGAAATTTTGAAGGAGAGCACGATTTGGATTTTCTCAAAAGGTTGGGCACTTGACCTCTGGCACAACTCTTAGACCCATCTCTAAATGACATTTAGTGCTTGCCCTCTACTAAATGACTTAAGTTTATTAGATTATTGTAGTTCAGGACAGTATAAATTATATTGTTCAGTAACACTCTACAGTATGTCACTCTTATTTCTTACGTCAGCTGTAATAAATGATCTTTTAATTTGTTGCTGTTAAGCTCCAATCGAGTCTACAAGCATCAAACTATCATGATTAAATCTCTCATGTTTTGCTATCAATGGTAGGTGGATTCAAAACAAAAGTACCAACTACAGTGGTACCAGGTGACCAGGTCATACCACTTAAAGTAAGTTTCATTATAAAATTTATATGACATTGAAGTCTCCTTTATGGTTCCCTTTACTGTTGAAAGCTAGTCATCTCTTTCCCTTGAATTGAGATGACAAATAAGATGCAGTGATAGAAAACTGTATCAGTAATCATAGATGATTCAATCTGGTATTACATTAAATTATTATTAAATTTGATTTCACTGCAGCTTGTAAAGGGACTGATGGGAGCTCAACAAACAGCAACACACTCAAAGCAAGATTTCCAAAAAACATTCGAAGTAAGACAGTATACTTATTTGTCACTTAATCTACATGTATAATATTCTGGCTGTCTTTTGCAGGTGCATGTATTGTTCAATGCAATTCATATTATTTTAGAGTTTTCAGTATTTTATTGATTATCGCATTGATTTCATCATTTCTCAATTTTTTGAGAATCTGTTTCATGACTTTAAGGAGTTTAGCAAATCTGTCAATTAAAATAACCTGTTGACATAAACTAAACACGCTAGTGCTTCTTTCTTGTGTAGTCATGCTAGTTTTCATTTCATTTACAAAATTGTTCAGGGTACTCACGAACTGTATTTTTAAATATCAATTTTCCACAAAACAATAGTTCTATATGCTCCATATTAATTATGTTATTTTTTACATATTTGTACAGTTCCAAGCCCCATCTTCAAAAGAAGAGCCTTAGCATCAAAATGAGACAGGAGTTGAGCCTGCAGTGATARATACCTTTTGTTCAMACCTAATACAATTATTCACAGGTATCTATCATTGCAAGCTCMACTTTTTCTCACTTTGATGCAAAACCTCAGCTACCTCTCGAGATGGCACTTGGAACTATAAAAAATGGAGTATTTGTTGTGAATACGATAAAGCGAAATAGATACAGTGTGTATTTCAATAATTGGAACTAGTGATTTATTATTATATTATTATTAATRTATTATAAATTCTATTTTTCAGCTACTACACAGTAGGTTCTCAGGACAAGAACAATTAAGCTTGTCTAACTTTATCAGTACTAAGGCATGTTGCTATGCTCACACAGAAGCTGAGGAACTGATACTAAATATACAAGGTACATGTATGGCTCTGAGATACTTTGTATTTCCTACTTCTGAAAAATACAAAATTCCAAAGAAATCATATGATATTGATGCCTTTAAACTTCTTTCATTCAGTCAAAGATGTTATTAGAAATGTTTTCTAAATATCCTTGAAAGCCATGCATACAGCCTCCGTCCCTGTGTGCATGTACAATGAATGTTCTCAAGTTTTTAATGTTTCATGTACATGAATGCAATTTCAACAAACTGTAAATGATCTCCTTCACAATTTCCTTTGAAATGTAAGCATTACTTTTCATCAAGGTGGCATGACCTGTGAGCTTGCAATTATAATGATATATTCCTTTGTATCTGACTTGTTCCACTTTGCAATAATTTAATGATGGTAGAGGTACCTTTTAAGGAGACTGAATATTGGCCATTAATATACTCTCCTTCACGGTTTCCTGTTCCATCTTGAAAGGTAGCTGTGCCTTTGCATCATACAAAACAACTGTTGAGCATGCAATGATAGATACCTTTGAATGGTATGTGTAAAAAGAAGATTTCTATCAAGCTGCATCCTCAATGTTCATCTCTCTTTTGATGCAAACTAAGGCACATACTACCAATTTTAAGATGTTGTATGGAACTCTGAAAGAAAGCATTGTTCCCAAAATATGAGTACAACAAATACAGACTATTACAAATTACTATTTTACAGTTGGTGCTGTTACCATGGCAACAAGTATCTTAGCAACGCCTGTCAGTCCTGTTCCTATTATTCCCACAGCACTAGCTAGGAATTTAACAGGTCCTTTAAGGCTGAGTGATGTCCAAGGAGTTCCTAAATGYGGGTAGGTAATTATTTTGCATTGTGTTGCATGTGTCTGACTGCAAACTCATCGACAAGGAGTTAGTTCAGAATTTTTTAACTGTCAACTCCATGGTAACTGACTCCATGTTAACTGCTGTCCAATCATAGGGMGTTTTGTAGAGTTTTGTGTTATACCATTCATTATCAGGGTTCAAAAGCTGGTCCTTCAAGCTCTCCTCAAGCCTCCACGGATTAAATCTTTGAGTCAAAATAGTATACACACTTGACAATACTCTAGTTTYGAATTCTCTTTTATGCAAGCTACATGTAGCTTAGGGTCTAGTATGTAATAGCAGGAATATGACATTGAGAGTGTTATTGTATTTATGTTGAAGGTTTCTTACCATGGATCATACAAGGAAGCTCTTATTGTTGCTTGAATCAGATCCCAAGGCTTACTCACTACCTTTGGTAGGAGTGTAAGTATTAATAATTATCAGTCATCATTTTATACATCGCTTAATATCGTTTAGAAGACACAACTTTGTGTAAAATACGTATAAATGCTGTTACTTTTAATAGACTAATTACAAATTAAGCTCT